TAGCGTATAACGCTTGAGCTTATCGAAATGTCTAGTAACTTTGTAAAATGCAATAGCTAAGTTGTTGCTCTGTTAAATCGTGAGCTTTTGTCTAAATGACTCTTATGAAATGATAAGTGTAGTTAGAAATGCGAGTCAAGGTAAATAAACGCAGTTGAATGCTGTCTTTATGATTCAGGAAAACAATTTATCATAACATTACGACACTATGTTTGCCATAAACGAAACCAAACATACGAAATTGATCGTCATTTTTTTTAATCTTCCGTGCTATTCTGGAGCTTTCTCACTTTTCGCCGTGCAATTCGCCGGTGTGATTTGAAAATATGAATATCATGTTTTAATTTTAAGCAACATCGCGGATTCCGAGGTGAGAAGTGAGTATGTTATTACAGAATAGCACGCCTGTTAAATCTTTATTTCTGCGTTAAAACTTGGTAGGTCGGAAGAGCATTAAATATGCATATTTTAAGCATGAGGAAGAAAAACCTTTTACTTAGTGTAGAATATAAATTGACGTCATAAAGCTTTTGTAAACATAAGTTATAGGAATATACTCAATGACAAGTTGCCTGACAACTTGCGTAGCCGAGACTTTGCTAGATCAGAGGCTCTGGACCTCAGGACGGGTGAATATGAAGTACGATTTTTTTTAACTCTTTTATTGATTGTAGCGTCGCATTACAGAGTCTGTAATGCAACACTATGCTACAACTATGAGATGTATTTTTTCATTTTTGTAAATCAGTATTGAGGAAACGTTATAAGCTATTTTCTAGAATAAATAAATATTAAATTATATCAATATTAATTAAGTTAAATTGATACAAGAGATCTATGTATTTATTTACTACGAAGCCTTTGTGATATGGTCCGTACACCGTATACCGTATGTATGGTCTCCTTATTATTAAATTATTTTAATTAAGAAAAATCAATTCATACTAATATAATAGGTTCTAAGATTATTTAAATTATTCGAAATAGTTGCCGTTTTGACTGCTTATTTGAATAATGATAGTTTTTATTTTTGAAGTTATACTTCTTTAGGCGCGTTATGAAAAAATGATGAGAGTGAAATTTTAGTTTAACAGGAATTTAATTTTAACAGCATGAAGTTGGTCGCTTTAGCGACCAACTTCATGCGTTACTTTTGTGTTTACCGCACATTAAGAAAATCTACCGACAAAATAGAAATATAATCTCTATTTAGTGGGTGCTAACGACTGCATTGTGAAGGCCTAATAAAAGTATTTATTAATCTGGAACAACGGAACCAAAGCGCGATTCAGGAGACTACAGCGCCATCTCTTGACCATTAGTGTTGTAGAACCAAAAACCACATCTTTATTTTTGAAGTTATACTTCTTTAGGCGCGTTATGAAAAAATGATGAGAGTGAAATTTTAAGATGCGCGCGTATCACTGTAACACAAAATTTTAACTTTGTGTTTACCGCACATTAAGAAAATCTACCAACAAAATAGAAATAGAACCTCTATTTAGTGGGTGCTAACGACTGCATTGTGAAGGCCTATCAAAAGTATTTATTACTCTGGAACAACGGAACCAAAGCGCGATTCAGGAGACTACAGCACCATCTCTTGACCATTGGTGTAGTAGAACCAAAAACCACATCTTTATTTTTTGTAATAAAGTAACAGTTATAGGTATTCATATTTATAATATTTATCCACATGTTTCTAGTTTGTATATTCGGAATACGTGTTTGAGTTTCATACAAGTGCAAATCACATATGTTCTAATAAATTATATTCAGTAGCGATTTTAATTGAATATTTTGATTATTTATTTATTTTTTCAAATTAAAACTGAACTTTATTGACTGTGTCCTTTTCCAGACTTTTTATTAATTTATTGTAATTAATTATTTGCATGCAATTAAAAACTAATTTTAAACGATGCCAAAGAAGGATAACTTCTCACGCGCCTACATAAGTACACGCACCCATTTTTTTTTATACAATTAGCTTTCGTGCAATACCTAGAAGTATTGAAATCTTGTATAGTTGCTTTATATACTATAATCTTAATCAGACAGAAACAGGAATCATCTTGAGCAGTTTACAGACGGGTTAAAATAGATTTTATTAGGTGTTGTACAATTATAACGACCGTATCTAGTAATAATTAAAATCTCAAAGCAAATCCCAATTTATTCGAGTAGTACATATAGTTCTAGCTAGGTAGAATTTAGGATTCCTTTTTTAAGTATCTTACAGTAGATTAAATTACTGACATTAAGAAATACTACTTGTGTAATGCACTTACAACAATAAATAGGTACGCTTAGTTTATGAAAAATTTCATTTAATAATAGTATCTCTGGAATACCACCCAAACTCAACCTATAATACCTATAATAAAATTATTATCATTCGTTTTCTAAAAAAAAATATATCTAATTGATTTTGCGTTTGTGATCCAGTTTGACTTTGATTTAGGTATTTTAGTTGAGATACATAGATTGATATTAATTGTTTTTTCTAACTTCCGATATAGAAAATAAAGACTCCTAATATATTGTGGTAATTACTGGCAACTACGGAACCCTACACTGCGCGTGGCAGGACACGAACTTGGTCGATTTTTAATACAATTTACTATGATTATCTGCGGACTCTTATTCTGCCTAGATCTATAAATCCTTCAATAAATAGTACTTTTTATAAATAAAAACGTATGTAAACGAGGAGCTCGATGGCGCAGGTGGTTCGATCGTTGAACTTCAGCAACTTACGTAGTGGTCGGTCATTGGATGGGTGATCTTCTATCTTGAGTTCCTCCGTGCTTCGGAAGGCACGTTAAGCCGTAGGTTCCGGCTGCATCTGCAGTCGTTAGCACCCGCCAATCCGCACTGGGTCCGCGTGGTGGGTCATGGCCCAATGTAGTAAACTATTCCATCCATAGGGAAGGCCTCTGCCCCAGCAGTGGAGACATTAATAGGCTGATGATGATTAAAACAAAAATATACAAAACATTATTTTTATTAACTTAAATAACCACAAACGAGATACAATGCTTTTTCCTTGAATGTGTACTATATAATTTATTTCTTAGATCTTAATTTCAGAGCAATATGATTTATTGCAGTTGATTATACTTTAGTAGGGAAGTGTTCGTACAAGGTATTTAGACTTGCATATATATGATGGATATAAAAGATAAGGCATTATATCACTTTCTTGATGACCAGTTTCCAACTTTTCAACTTCACTTTCTAGAAAGTTATGAAGATTATTACAGTATTCGTTAAACTCATAATCTTATATTATATTTAGCCTACATTTTATTTGTCATAGTCAATAATTAAGTAGATAACTAAAAACTACTAAAATTTGTTAATACAGCTTTCTATAGTCATTACACATCTTATTGCTTAGTAACAGAAAATGTATGCGAGCAAATCTTAATCCAGCTCGGGAACGATTTTCGTTTCTTTTGTTATTGTAAAACTTGATAGTATGGACTCGAGAGTATTAAAGTTAATTTTATGTTCATATATTCAGTGATTCCGGAGTCCTCTGGACTTGACCAAACGACTTTTACTGCCATACTCACTCAGGTACCGCTTGGTGCTTTGGACAAGCGCCCGACGAAAGCCATTCCAGAAGAAGTAAAGGTAGTGTTAAAAAAAAAAAAGTATTATTTTTTAACTCTCCTAACCCAAATCTGTATACCTAATCTTTTTTGAAGCTGTGTTACGGTTGCCCATGTGCAAAACCAATCTGCAACTTCACGGGAATATAACTTAATATTTTGGAGTGTGCGATTGAGGACGATTTCGCATTTATTTGTCAAAGTATTGATAATGGCGCAATCATGTTTACAACTAAACATGATAGAGTCGAGTAGAGGAAACTCTGGAGGAAATGTGTAGTAGGATCCATCGATGGAGTTACAGCAAAGGATCCAAGTGGACGTAGGGCATGAACTTTTATGAAAATCAGAGCATTGTGAGATTGTGAGTCCTCTAATAACTTTGTATTGTAAAAAAAAATGGGTGCGTGTACTTATGTAGGCGCGTGAGAAGTTATCCTTCTTTGGCATCGTTTAAAATTAGTTTTTAAGTGCATGCAAATAATGTCATTTCATTTCATTTCATTTCATTTCATTTCATTTCATTTCATTTCATTTCATTTCATTTCATTTCATTTCATTTCATTTCATTTCATTTCATTTCATTTCATTTCATTTCATTTCATTTCATTTCATTTCATTACATTTCATTTCATTTCATTTCATTTCATTTCATTTCATTTCATTTCATTTCATTCCATTTCATTCCATTTCATTCCATTTCATTCCATTTCATTCCATTTCATTCCATTCCATTTCAAATTCATGTCCCGTTCAAATCTGCCCTGTTTGCTTTGTTCAAATCTGCCCCACGGTCACTTGGAAAATAAAATATTACAAATAACACGCCCGCGGCTAACTTCATTATGTTAAAATTTTGTGTTACAGTGATGAAAATTTCACTCTCATATTTTTTTCATAACGCGGCTAAAGAAGTATAACTTCAAAAATATGTATTTGAACCTTATTTATCTTCTTTGTTTTTAATAATAGAAATTCACGTTCTGTGAAATTGTAAGTAAGAGTAATGTAGTGTATTTGGACAGACAGATGGTCAGTTGCTTTCAACATACTGTGTAGGTATTTTTGTTTAGTTCGTTATTTCCAGCTGTAGAAGCACTAATCATTATATTACTGAGCTATGATCGAACTGTTTTTGCGTGTTTCAACATATATCGTTGTTTAAAATAATATATTCTCAAACAATTAGTCCATGTATGCAAACAAATTTATCTGTGTCAATCATCCAGCTATCAATAACTTTTAGATGCAATCAAAATTAATGGCGACCTTGATCTGTTTTCGTATTAACTATTATTTCTCGTTAGCTATTTCATTATTATTGTCGATCATTAAATCTATTTATTGAATATCAAAAAATCACTTGATTGAATAATAGGGCGAGGCGAGAAAATTTCTACAATGAATCTTAATGAAGAAGTGTAGAGGTAAAACGGTAGTAACTACTTTCCGTATTTAGAGGTTAGGTTTTGAAATAAATAATAAAGGTTAATGTTTGTTTGTACTATTTTAATGACTATAATTTTACCAAGAGTATATTATATATACACGAAGATCACAGTGAGAATAAATAGACGCTGCTAAGGCTTCATCCAGTGGGCTCTAATAGTGATGATGCTGGGAAGAGTACACATGATGGCTGGGGCCGGAGTTGTGTACCACTGCGTTGAATCTGCATCGAATATTTTTTATATAAGTACCGTCAAACTTTAAAACAGCTACGGCCAAACTGTAGTGATAGGGCCCGTGAGTTGTCACTTCAAAAGTTGTGAAAGAAGAAGACCTGCTGTATTATTCCGTAAGGATAAAACTTTCTTTTTACAGTCAGAATTTGCGGTGTGGTTTAAAATTAGAAGAGGAAATTCCCTTAAATTTCAACTCAAACCGTCGAATTCCGCGATAAAAAGTCTGTGTGTTCTTACGGAATAGCCAGAGCTGTTCAACAAAAAATTGTGAAGACGTGTCAACTCCCGGACCCAAAAATTACAGTTTTGCCATAGTTACAATGAAAATAATGAAATCAGCGAAGATAAATTTACACTAATAAAGATCGATCTTTAAATAGAGAATAGTTGATCTATTTATAACTTGTCCGACGAGAAGATCAGTTCAAACATTAACGACGATAAACTCGTTCAGAAACTAGTTATCAACAAGTTGCTTCCTATACGTGTTGATAGACGGTAACGCACGTGGTTCGAGAGAGGTCATTACCTGCTCACATGTTGCACCGGTTTGACTGCCATATGTGAACGTAAACATTGAAACTATACCACCGTGTTAATACGTTGCTAACTTTGAGCGCAAACAGTTTTCGAATTTTTGCGTAATTTTGAGGAAAGTTGCAAGCTCATCGTATCATCTTTCGATTGTAAACATTGAATGTTATCAAATTTATGTCTTTTTAAGAATACGCCAACCATTACAACCATTTCAATGGGATTATCTTTAACCTGACTTGTAAGAATGCAAGTTTCATTTTAGGTAATTTTACCACATCCTTTATCCATATAGTTTTTTTTTATTTCAAACTAAGCAAATTACTCCAACCAACCACTATTAAATATGAGTGGAGTCCCGTTGCCAATCATTACCTACTATCCGTACACTTGCATTCATAGTCATGAATTCAAAGTTGAATTACCCATTGTGGTCGTCAGCGGAATAGGACACCTTGCGGAAGGAACCATCGGGCTGCAGCAGGGAGTATTCTCCCTTCACCACGTCACCGTCGCGGCTCTCATGCTGGGACTTGTGGTCGCCGGTGTGGGGGTCCTCCACGGAGTACGAGTACTGGTATTTGGGGTGAGACTGCGGAAAATCATTTAAATGAATGAGAGCGAAGCGGTGTTACGACACAGCCGCTAGCTAGTGGTTGGCACACAGCTCTAGTTTGCGTACCTGGAATATCCAGTTTCCATTTCACTGATAAATTGTAGATAAAATAGGTGTCGCTTGTTGTATTGCGTTGCAGCGAGTTGTAATGAGAATTTGTGACAAGTGCACTTAAAATCTGTAGGCGCCTGTTGAGTGGTCTATAGCTTATCTTTTGATGCCAGCAGCTTTAGTAAATTAATATTATGAGTGCATATTGTGTCGTGTATTACACGGTAATACTTGTCTAATTTTGTAAAATATATTATCTATTCATTTTTTAGCATTATTGCAGTGTCCCTTCGTTTATAATTGTAACCCTTGCCAAACAGACGGCAGGCTGATAGCGAGGCAGTATTTATTTTTTTGTACTTTAAGTTCAATTACGCTCTTCGCTTCGGCTGTCTGTTTGGCGGAGGCATAAGTAACGGATAACCTTGATACGTACGTAATAGTCCTCATGACCGTGTCCAGAGTATCCGTGGGAAATGGGGGCGGCAGCTACGATGGGGGCAGCATGTAACACAGGGGCGACGTGGACAGGGGCGGCATGGACCAGAGGAGCGGAGTAATGAGTGTCGTGGTGGACGAGGTTATGCTGCGAGGAGACGGAGTAACCCCCGTGTCCAAGGAGGCCAGCCTGAGCCACCGCTGCTACCGCGCCGAGAGCAAGGATCTGTAAACACCAATCCATTGATGATTATTTCGTTGTAGCGTTTATGTGATGCTAATTGTGAAGAATATGAAAAGCTTTAATATGATAATTTGTTTAGTAGTGTCCTTTGGTGTAATTCCTGTAATGACATCTGTTTACATTGACTTGCATGTTGGCTACACTGAAATAAGTTTTTGAAGGCAGTCCAATCTCAATGGACCTTTGGTTTTGATGTTTACGAATTCTTTGTAGTATCATTTTTAATTATGGCGTCCAGCGATATCAAACAAGGTCTCCGGCTTATCTTAGTACACATTTTCACTTCACGTTATCACAGGGCGTAATCCACTTACTTTTGCGAACATTTTTTGAGTGGGTTTGTAATGCGTGACTGACATACATCTGATATCCAGCAGTGGGTTTTATAAGAAATGGTGTTGGCCGGTGGGGCGGGCGTGAGCGCAGCGCGTCCCCGCGACGCAAGGTCGGGCTTTGTCTTGCACATTCTCGTATAATGACCGAAATGATTGTTACTTAACTTAAAAATACTCTGTGAACCTCATATTATACGGCATGATACTAGGTCAACATACCTACGCAGTGATAAGATTGTTGTTGTGTACGTTTTTTGTTGAGACGCGTGTATGAGAAAAACAACTGAATTAGCGTACTGGCGGTATTGTTAAGTTGTCTTTTTACTTTGATTAATGCATGGTCATGCTTGTTGATTGTGTTTGTCATCTAATATTTATTTTCGTGTGTATAGTCAGACGTCTCAAATATAATCAGAGGTTATTGCTTTTTGCAATAAAATCAGTAAAGTTATCAGAAAACATATCCATATTGATATTTTGTAATTGTGTTAAAGAAAGCGGATGGGTGCAGATTATGGCAGTATTTCAGTTTCATTGACATTCTGTTATGTCACGGGCTGACTTGCACTTTGCTTACCGCTCTTAAGTAGGTAAGTGAAAAACATTACGTGACCCTATAACCAGAACATGGACGATAGATGAGCAAAGGTGTGAAAGCATGAGAAAGATAGATACTTACATAAATAGGGGCATATTACATTAACCTGGTGTATTTTTGTGGCTTTACCTAATTTAAGGCATACAATCCATTTTCGTTATTTAGTCCAGAAAAAAATAGAAGGAAATTGTGAAAAAATAAAAAAAATCTTTTATATTTTTTATGAATTAGGTGAGGTATTAGAAAGATGATTCAGTATTGTAAGATTCTTATGGACAAACTAACAGGAATTCGAGGAGGAAAACAAAAGATACCATTTTACGTTAGGGTAAATATAAATCACATTCAAAATAGGTAAGCTATACATTAGCGAAGAAACATAATTACTGGTCATTATTTTAGTCTGTTTTTTGTTTCAGATTGTGTATGGGAAAGTTAACAGCTGACGCGATGATGAATTTTAGGTATTTTAATCCTACATTGGTTTGGGAGATTTCAACAATAACTACCTTTCTAATGATATATTATAAAGAGAAATAAATAAATAATAAATATAAATAAATATTTCCAACACTCACACCAATTAGCCTAGCCCCAAAGTAAGCACTATATGGCTTGTGTGTGAGGGATGCTAGGGTAACGGATAGAATACATATACTGTACATATATAAGTATATTTATATAGAAGTACATATTAAACATCCATGACTGGAGTACAAATGCTCGTATTCATCACACAAACATCTGCCCCCACCGGAATTAAAACCCGGGACCTCTCGAGTCGGCGACACCATGAAACCCGGCGTACAAACCACTCGGCCACGGAGGTCGTCAAATCAATCCATTTAGTCGTTTCTTCCGAAATTTCGTATAATTTATCTATAAATTATGCTTTACCCTATAGTACTTTGAAGTTACTGTGCATAATATAGCAATCGAACATGCATTACACCAATGTCGATGTTTGTTCGATAGCAAGTGCCCAATAAAAATTATGTGGAATAACAAGGCCAAAAGCTGTCATGTCAAATGTGATTGAAACAAATGTTCGTAATTGATACAAAAGGGTATTTTTGTTACGAATTGAATCTTGATTATATAGGATTAAAGGAATGTCTACAAAAGGTTTATAGATACTATAACAAAACATTTCGTATTAAGATTCTTTGCTATAATATTGTTCATGATATAAGTTTATTTTTATTGGAAAAAAAATACGATGTATTAAGTATCCGTCACATGTAATGATTTTAGCTGCTATTTTCGGCTTGCGATTTCTACCTACTATACAGTGAATGATTATATTTATATTTTTAAGCATTTAAATGCTAGAAGTTAAAGTCTAAAGAAAATTTTACTTGAAAAAAAAATCAAATGTTTCAGGTTTCGGTTCGGATAGCCTTACCAAGTGGATTTTATGTATTTAGATTTAAACTATACATATATCCTCGTTTTAATAAACAAGGATTAAGCTTAGACTAGTTACGCCGTGTTTTGGTCATATCACTCAAGTGCTATTTGTCATTCAATGAACAAAGACAAAACATAGAGTAACTAATCAAAGCTTAACCTTCGTTTATTAATAAGGGGGATAGAGTGACGATAAGGGAGAGCCTGGTCTATCTGTCATTTTATAGTTTTTCAACCTTTCTTTCGCTGAGGCTTCCCAAACAATAAGTAATAAGATTTTAAGTATTGGAAGATCATACGGTAAGAATTATAATTTTAATAAGATCATTGTTTTTGTTATAAAAATTATTAAGTTGCACTTCAAGCAGGTACAATATGAATTTTAATAGAATAAAAAAGTATAGTAGCAATGAAATACTTGGGGTTGCATGTTTTGTTATAAATAATAAAAATAATAAACACTCTATATCTTATTATATTTAGGTTTTTTTTTCAAACCAATTAACAGCATGATTAGCATTTAATTTAAAGAAAATGATTGATAGATTTTTTTTAAATATATCTTGACAGACTTTGTAAAATATGAGTTCTCTATCAACAATACCTTATATGATATATAGAAACACACGAATGCATTATGTTTTTCATTAAAAAAAGTCCTACTATGTCCTATTCAGGATAAAGGACGACTTAACTTAGACTTTTTCTCTGTAAAGAATAAAAGAAGAAGAAGCATAGTAACTAAATGTTAATTTGATGTTCTTTTAAAGAATAGAAGTGTTCAAAAAACACTCATAAAGGTGTTATAGTATGCGCTTCGTATCTTATTATCATTCAAGGGCAACCATTGTGCGATGAGAACGTAATCAGATCGGTCAACCACTCCATTCATTGTTGGCTAATAATGATCACTGGGCTTTTTATTTAACTATTTTACGCCTACCTAGTTTCCCGACGCCAAATTTGTAATAAGCCCGCTCTGCATATTCAATTGCGATAGTACGTTTGTGTAATTAGTTAAAGACTGTAATTACGTTTTTGCATTTGGAGTACCTAACGTATACATTGTAGTGATTATTTTTAAATTAGGTTTTTGAAGGTCCCTATGTCAATAATTTGGTCGTGGTTAGTGCAATGATTCTTTAGGCAAGTAATAATGAATCTATTTAATTAAATGGCGTTTGTCCTATCCGCCATCTAGACATATTGAATTTTTTTAAAGTTTTACTTTCTTTCTTTTGTTTAAACGGAACTCCGTTTTTAGTTCACAACTGCGAACTGTGAAAATTTTGGGGTTTTAAAATAAAATTAAAAGTAACTTACAATTATATAGTTTAAACAAGTTTAGTAGCTTAAATCATACTAGGTGGGTATTTATTCGCGAAGGAAAAAGTATCGTGAAAATGCATCGTCCAACACTTTGTTAATTTGGACGATGAAATTTCCATGCTCGTAAAATAAAAACTACGGAGACAAATTTAATTATTTTTTTATGAAACCAATTGGCAAATGGTAATCGGTGTACCTACAGATACAAAAAACCTACCGGCTGAATTGAGAACGTCCTCCTTTTTGAAGTCGGTTAAAAACATTGCGCTAGGAGGAGTGAAAGATTTTTGCATACTTAAAATTCATATTAACAGGCTAATTAAGGAAGGTCTCTTAAGACCACTTTCACCAAAATCCTGAAATCAAATAGGAATTTAATACTGTTAAATATATCCATCTTTTTCAATCGTTTCTACTAAGTCTACTAGGAGAGAACGAGGCTTTAAGAGGGGAGGCGGGCAATGTTTTTTTCCATACAAACATTCTCGACTGATTCCTCCTTGATTTTTATCAATAGAGAATTGATTTTTATATATAAAATATAATTTTACTCATTCTATGCTCATATATCTTCCTTTTTTCGATAACTTGTGTTTCATAGAAACTAGAAACCCTCTTAAAGGGTCAAAAATAAACAAATTTTTACCACCACTAGTGACGTCTTTTGTGGATATTAAATAAGCATTTACAAAAAATATAAACATAAAGGCATAGTATTACTACTTATTATTTTTTGTGTAAAATTTCTTTTACATTCATCTACTTTTTGAGGAGGAAATCGTCGAGAGCCAAACCAATTTTTGTACGCAATTTTCAGGGTGAATTTCTATTGTCCCTATCGCATGGTATTTGCCAATGCATGACAGTAATAGTTTTTTCAAATACAATAGGTATTTGAAAAAGCTATTACTGTCATCTACAATGTCTTTCAGCTCGCGTCCGCTCTTAAATGTGATTAAATTAAAATTTGATTTAAGAATTTTGGTACAAGTGGGCTTTAGAAATGTTTATCTTATATTCATTAGAGACAGGTACTACATATTTACTCAATAAAAACATCTTTACTTGTGGGTTGTTATTGTTGTTGATGTGGTTTCGAAATCTATGACAACTATTGAAATACATAGTTCTAAAAACCTGCATATATTTTAGTTTATGATCACAATTTCTACAACGATAATATTATACTATGCTATTATCATAATAGTCGAGCACACCACGGTCCCGCAGCGCACAGTACTGAATGGAATTTTTGAGATTCGTACACGTAAATCATACGTTACTAAAAAAATATTTTCATAATATTTGGTTATTGAAAATACAATAATTGAGTACTTCTTTGAATGCAATAAAAAATGGGATAAACAAAAAATAAAAAAGTAAGATTTAAAAAAGTTTTAATAAATTAGCTTATTACATTTAAGATTCATGGCTAAGGGAACAATGCTTTGTACAATTTAATAGTCATGATGGTGGTACTCCGGCGCAGGGTGGACTAAAGGAGCAGAATTGTGGACGATGGCGTTAAACCTGAAAAGAAAAATAGTTTTTATGAAATACGTTATCTATTTTAATACGATTGGTTTTCTTAGTAATTAATAAATATAAATTTAGTTTTTAATAAAATCCGGCTTTATTACAGTACTAATTCTACCCTGGAATAACAATAAAAAATAGTATAGGTTGCTCCAGCAGTCCTATCATTAATTATGAACTGAATGGCTTTGAGTATTGATTAAACAGCAGCTATTCATTTTCTACCATTTACCTACGCTTTTTTATCGTCTAATTTTAAATTTATAAGTTAGCGTTATCGTTCCAGCCAACTTATAGAAAGAATGTGACTTGTCTAAACCCACCACTAGGTACTGCCTGGTCGTTTACTGTCAGACGAAAAATATCGTTGTTAGTTTTCCAAACGCTCTTAAATATCTACTACAATCGTATTAAGCCCGTGGTCGCTCACCATCAGTAGAAAAAATACCTTACAAACAAAACTGTGGCCAGAATTCTACTTACCCATTGTGATCGTCAGCGGTGTACTCGACCTTGCGCACGGAACCGTCAGGCTGCACCAACGAGTAGTAGCCGTGGACAGCGTCACCGTCGCGGCTCTCGTGCTGGGACTTGTGGTCACCGGTGTGGGGGTCGGACACGGAGTAGGCGAAGTCGTATTTCGGGTGTGCGTGTTCCTGGGAACGTTTATAAGATTCAGTCACAGTATGGCATACACTACTTCGATACTTATTGAAAAAAAAACAACTTTGACTCTGATCCCTAGTAAATCGATAGTGGAGAAGACTACTAAGACTTCCTAATGAGATGCTCTTTACTCAAAAGATTGGAAGAATGATGACTCTGTTTCTCAACTAAAGGTTAAATTGAGTGTCGTATCTTTTATACTCGATTTCGTTCCACCACTTAATTTATTGACTCCAGATATCACTGATGGGGTGAACTCAGCATGCTTAACAAAATAATACGTTATCTGTAATCAACAGCAATTAATCGGAGAGGTAAGATAATGTTTATCGAGTATTTGGATCATTATGCATTACTTTTAACACTTGATTTTACTTACGTAGTCTTCGTGGTCACCATGGTAATCATTGTAGTCGTCGTCATGGCCATCATAAGCGATCGGGACGGCGTAGGGTACCACCGCATCGTATATGGGTGCGGCATGAACTATAGGTTCGGCGTGAAGTATAGGTCCGGTGTGAACGTATGGCGTGGCGTAATGAGCTGGGGTGTGGGCTTCGTCGTGGCGGACGATGCTTTGCGACGAGATGGCGTGACCGTACGGAGCTGCATTAGCCGCAGCCAGGAGGGCGCTGAAAGCTACGATCTAGAGGGACAATAAAGTTATTTTTGACATTGTCTTATATTTAGTTTGAGGCTTAAGTATTTTATATATTGTACTACGACGTCCGTGGTGGTACCATATGTTGAAGCACATTGAATATTGCATACTAGGTAAGACTAAATCAGTGCCGGTGCTATCCGTGATGCGATGTGTAGGAAATTAATTAACATTAATGCAAAAGTAAAAAGGAGCATTTCAAAGTATGTTAAAATCTTTTTGCGCATATTATATTTAAACATCTAACATCAATTATGTTAATTCAAGATACTAAATATCTTGAATTAACATAATTGATGCAGTTATGCTAAACTATATCAGTTTGTAATGCTAGAAAATAGTTGTGTGGCCGCTGAACTTTAACAGGGAAAGTTATTAATTTTATCGAAATTTTACAGCATGACTCGCCACTGTTACTATCAACACAATCTGAATTTGACGTATGTAAAATATACATAACACTCTAAAAACTTCACAATTTTGTTTTTTCACTTAATATCAAAAACGTCACTCACTTTGCTGAACATTTTGTTTGTTGTATAATTTATGATTGTTGTCAATAACTGTTAGGTGTTGCTTTTTATATGATTGAACAAGAATAAGTGGGGTTGCTGGACCTCGGTGTGACAATGACAAAAACCTAAGGTCGTATCGAAACTGATAGCATAGCAATAAAATATGTGTCATGGTACTACCGTCTATTAACTTTGGTCATGAGAAGCCTTAAAATGTGCGTGATCCGTCACGCTGGAGTAAGCAACGCTAGAGTTTCGGTCTATGAAATGCCTTCGATGACATAATGGTATTGTATCTTTAAACGCCGAAGAAAACGGTTGTAGTATTTTGGGTGAAGGCGGTAGGATTAATGCAAAGACAGATTTATTGAAGAACCGTAATGGTACGAAAAAAATATAATTACAATCATATCATTTTTTATTTTTTTCTCCCATAAAAGTTGTTGTGGTTTACAATCTTTTTGTTACAGTACTTATGTATCGTGAGAGACTTTTGCCTGAATTATGTTCCAGGGAAATACCACAGGTCACCAAGACGTATACAGTAGGATAATGTTGGTGCACTAAGTAGTTACACCATACATACTTTTATAAAAGAAAACACAAAATTAAAAAGAGGGACTGTTCCTAAACCGTATAGCTGAGGGAGGAAGCACAGCAAAGCAAATAAGTACACAGGATCAGAAGTAATGAACTTTTGTTATTATCAGTCGTATTGAGAATATTAACAGATATAACAAAAACTTATAACTAATTATAATAATAAATTATTGCGAAAATAGTAAAACCTTCTGAATGTCGATTTTGCCCCGGAAGCCGTCAAAAACTGTAATATAATATACGGTATTGCATTAAGTATCTTAACATTCGGAAATGATGACGAAACCTTCAAATGAATCGAGATATTCTGTATCCAAGCCAGTGTAGCTTTCATAAGAGTTTTTGAAATATTTATTTTTGGCAATGGTCGTAAAAGCTCTCTTCACTTCTTTTCTCAACTGCTGTAGTAAAGCCTAGGGTATCTGGTTTCAATCTTGCCTTGTAGTAATTTTTCTTGTAACGTGTGTGGGTGTCTTCATGCAACATTATAAAGCGTACTTTTAATTTATTTAGAAAATAAAGGCACAATACGGTTTTATTTTGGTAGCTGGTTTTGGAACAGTCGCACAATGAAACATCAGCATTTTATGCGGCCCATTTTAGCGTTATTCAGTACGATATGAAGTATATGAAAATATTTTCATACTATCGCATGTCCCACTGAAAATCTCCATTACACTACATTGTTGGAAAGTTAAAATGTGTAAAGTGACCATGTGATCAGACGACAGTTCAAGTCCTTAACATCATAAAATTGTAATTAAACCTTTATAATGGTAATGTTTGTACCCAAACATATAAGGATGTGTTTTAATGTTAAGGTGATTCGAACCGTTTAAATTAAATTAACCTCTAAATAAATGTTTAAAAGTTGTAGTACTATTATAATGGGCGGAAACTTATTAAAGTAGATATGCCATAGATTTTTAATTTTTACTACTGAATCAATATAATATTACGCAGTTGTTCATTATATTCTCGAAATTACGTTTAAACTAAGCTCTGTAGTTCTCTAATCTGTAGTTGTTAATTAAAAGCTTTTTGTTACAAAACATGGTTTGATTTACACTTATACTGCACAAATTATTCGGCAATACCACATAACTTCGTATAATGTGAAAGAACGAAAGAACCAAAACAGTCCAGATTTAAAAAACATAAATAATTTCCCTTTCAACACGGATTCACCCGGAAACCAAATGCGAGACCTCAAAGATGTCAATGACGTCACCAATTCCGAAAGTGTAATGACCTTTACACGTAAAATATTCAATTTAATTTTGTGATCTGCTGAATTAGGCGTAAGATACATTCATTTGTAAAAAGCTGCAATACGAAGCCGATCAACCGAATAAAAACAGAACGTGAAGGCAAAAACAATGTTGAAAAACGCAATGTCTTTAAATACTGCGCTTGATTCATAAAACGAGGAAAATAGTGTCATTTTTTGGTCTCATAACATTGTTTAATCGCAATTTGTTTGTGTATATATAATTAGATTTTGTCTACGAGACGTTTTCAGTTCAAATGCTTGCTTACTACTTACTACTGTTTAGGAGTTAAAAATAGTTTTAAAGTGAAACTTTTATTACATCACTATACATTGTTTCGTCCATCTTTAGTATGAGGCATTACATTATTGTAATTATTATTAAAAAATCAGACCTTATCAACGAGCGTTGGTGAATCAGTGGTAGAAAGCTCGCTTGCCGCGCAGCAAGCGCGGTATGGCGGCCCGCTTTCGATTTCCAGCTGAGGAAGCACTTTTTTATGTGATGATTTTTAAAGTTTCACTTGCATCATTATTTTTGTCGAAATTTTTTACTACGTAAGTACGACAAAACTGTGGAATACGTTGTCACCAGCAGTGTTTCCAGACCAATACGACCGGAAAACCCTTAAAAAAAGAGTACTCCTACCTTAAAGACCGGCATCGTATTTGTAATACTCATGGTGTTGTAGGTGACTATGGGCAACGGGGATCCCTTTTCATTAGGTGAGCCACCAGCTCGTATGCCCCCCATATAATATAAAAAATGTGATTTCATGAAACAACTTTTTTTTTGTTTTTTTTTTTATTAAAAATTTATAGATGCTATACATAAGATTTTAACATTGAAAATGTTTTTTCGTTTGCTCCAGTAGGCCCCCATTTTCGCAAAAAGTGCGACTCGGGATACCCCGAAGTTAAACCTATTTAAACTTAAGGTTAAACCGTTAGCCACGAGGACATATGAGGGCTTAAAAGACGTGGAATTTGAAGGGCTTTAAGAAGATGAAAAAACTTTTTAGAAAAGTCAAATGGAAAAGTCTTTTTTGGAAAAAAATAAACTACTTTTTTTGGACCGAAAAATCGTGTTTTCACAGAAAATTTCACGATATCTCGAGAACAGAGCCGAATTTCAAAAATTAGGTCATTGCACTTTTTTCGATATTGGTGACGGTTTAGGCTGTAGAGGTGCCCTTTGCCACGGTAATATTATCTATACAGTATTGTGACTCCGCCCTGTCCTTGAAAATAAATGCCTACACCGAACGCTGCGTTGGCACGCGGTAGGGCCGCCAGCCTACAGTATTTTATGTAGTTTTGTTTTTAACTCGAGTGTAGGTAGATTACTCGTTTGTCTCTTTTTTCATCCTAACCACTTATTTATATATTATTCCAGATATTTACCCGATGGAAAAACCGAAATACCTAAATATTAGAAACAAATAACGTACTAGTAGATAGGTATATAAAAAATATTCTATAAAGGTAAGACACCTTTCCAATATTTCAGGTAATTTAAAAAATGATATATCTGGGTGTGTTATTGAAGAGTTCAAGCAACCAAAAACAGCAATTGTGCTGTTGTACGATATTGATCGTCGTTTGTTCTTTTCCTTACTAAATTATGTAGGTATCTACTTTATTAAATCAAATATTTACAATACAAAACGCACGTTTAAGCACGGCTAACTGCATAAAAAACAATTCAGACCGTTCGGTCGTCGTTGCGGCGCGGCGGCGCATTCGCGACTGGGTGCACGCCGAGCGCACATCGAACTCGAGTGGCGTAGGTATGACTCGCTTTCCGACCGTTTGTATGAAGATAGAATACTGTATGATATTATTACCGTGCCTTAGCTGTTTCAATGGAAGGAAAACAGTTCGGCAAGTAATTATTATGTACCTTATTATATAAGTACTAACAATAGTAGAACTAATAAGCATTAATAATAATAAGAAGAAAAGTACATATTATTATCACAATAATTATTCAAATATAAATAATAATAAACAAAAAGAAACATAATGTTGAAGAGCATTATTAATCATGAAAGCATTTTCATAAATTAAAGGATTACTAGCAAACCAGTAAACCAAATGTTCACCAAAAAGAAAAATGTATTTAATTAATTGAGAACTTCGGAGATTTTGTGTGGTTTCGTTTGAAATAGAAATCACGTGATTTCTCGAAAACTGGAAGTGCTACGTTACTCACATCCGGTTTGTAGTCATAACAGACTATTCTTAACTTATAACTTAAACATTCTCTATATCTATCTCTTACGGTTTGGCCGCTGAAACAGCACCACGGACGGACGGACGGACTTGTCTAATAGATAAGAGATTGATCAGCGCGGAAGAACTTTTTTTCGTATGTTTAGTAGCTTTAATCGGCCCGACGAACGCGTCCGTGTTAGTAACAGTTTTTTGGAAACCCACAGGGACCTTACATTTGCTCGATTAAAAGTATCCTATTTCTCAATCTAGACAATACGTATACTAAATTTCATCCAAATATATGCAAACGTTTTTGCGTGATACACTAACAAGCTTACAACTTATTACATGCTTAATATTAGTAGGATAAAAAAAAACAAATTAAAAAGACACAGACCCAAACGTGTGTAATTATGCGTATTCAACTAATACCCTGTGATCACGAATTTAAAAAAAAAAGCTTTATTTGACCTAACAACCTTGCAATTTTTGTGCAATGTTTACTTGTCAGCGACAGAAATTCATTCACATTTTGTATGTGATACTATTTCAATCGATATCCGGCCTAGTTCGTTTTATTTGGTTTGAATTTCATGTTCCATTTATCCATGCACCGAGACATTTGTACTGTCAAACTCGTTCTAGATCTTTATCTTGGAGCTTAAGTTAACGTCTCGGGATACCACTACTACCAACAGATTTTTTCTACTTTTTGGAGATATATCAAGCAATTGGCTAGTCTATTTTTTCTATAAAGCTAAATAGACCCAATCAATGCAAAATGTGGCGCAGTCGATGAAGTGATTTATAAGAAACATACAGTGGAAGATATTATATTTATTTGTATCGCTGTCATCTTCAAGGTTCTGCTAACTCGCAGTGGATAGTGTAAAAAGTTGTTAAAGAATGTGCAAATTATAGTTTATTTAGAGTTTGAGCTTTTTGATATAGTTCTTATTAAAACTGTACCTAGTTACTGTGACTTTGATGGTCGTACTCAAATGCGGTATCACTTGATTGTTTTAGGCTCGTATTACAGAATTGGAACTAAGTGTTGATCTCTACTTGAGTACAGTTAAAATGGGATATCGCTATGTGCAGCACAGAGCGACATCCCTTTCTAACTGTACTAAACTAAAGATCAACACTTAGGTTGTCATTCTGTAATACGAGCCTTACTCTAAAGCGAGTAAAAATCAATGCGCGGACCGCAAAACTCACAACTCAAAGGCTCGTTCGTTGGACGCGACAAGTTGATTTTTGCTGGCTTTAGAGTAAAATTATCGAATAATACCGTATGTGAGTACGGACCATAAGTGGGAGTTGCCATTTTACTTGAAGATCTCCTTTCGTCAGGTAACTTATAAACAGCTCAAAATTGCCACAGCTTTTAGAAATATGTTTTTGCTTTGTGCGAGTTATATACCTATTCAGATAGACACTAGTACCAGATCAATGGAAACATTGCGTAGAGCCGCTTAATTTTGTTATAACAACAAACTTTGACTTCGGACAAAAAAGTGGTACGACATTCATTTTGTTATCTTATTAAACTTACGTGCAAATGACACGCGTCTGTCTTAATGCGATAAATAAACCGGCACTTATAACTAAAACAGTGTTGCTCAATTTGACGTAGAAAATCATTCGAGCAATTCAGTGGGTTAGCATATAATGCCGCGATAACATCTGTTGATCAATTAGTCATTCACTTTAGTAAGTTATAATGAAATCTTACAGAGCAATGATGATGGATAGATATAATTGTTGTGTTTTCTCGTCTATATAAGCATGCAAACAAAATAAGTATCAGGTATGCAGTTGGGTATGTTTCATTATGAAGCTACATAATTATTAGTAAAACAAAAACTCCAAATATGACAGAATCGATATAAAATTGATTATTACAAAATGAAATTCGGATGACAATGCAATATTATTGTAACATAGGACTTCTGCAAAAATAATAATAAAATGATGCAATCCCATAGCAAATTCTACTGTTAAAATGTTCAGGACAAGGACTTTGGTCTAAGCTATCAAGCTAGGACCAATGTCAGAGTTGTTTATCAAATCAAAATCTAATGATAGAGCCGGAACGTAGCCGTGGGATTCATGGCAATTCTGTGATTAAACAACGCAATCTAATCGAGTTTGGGCTCGTTTAGAATTAAGTGATAAGAGTTCTGGTCCTATATGGTATTCAGGGTCTGGTGATGTAGCAGGCAAGTAGCCCTAAGTACTTTATAATAAACCAATGCGATCTCATTGAGTTTACTTGTCTTGTCGAGGACTATGGTCCGTGTTGATATCCAAGGTCTGAATGAAGACCTCCGTGGCCGAGTGGCTTGTACGCCGGGATTCATGGTGTCGCCGTCTCGAGAAGAGTCAGGTTCAAATCCCGGTGGGGGCAGATGTTTGTTTGATGAATACGAGCATTTGTACTCCAGTCATAGATGTTTAATATGTATTTCTATATAAATATACTTATATATGTACAGTATATGTATTCTATCCGTCACCCTAGTTATCCCATAACACAAGCCTTACAGTGCTTACTTTGGAGCTAGGCTGATTGGTGTGTGTTTGAAAAATGGAGAAAAAAAATTGGGTACGTTTGAATGGGCTGATGATGATGATGAATAGATAAAGATAATTGAAACAAAACAATTTTTAAAACCACTTTTTATTATTTGTTTTGTAATAAAATACATCCTTTTGGTTACTTCGATGTTACAATGTAACACACATTTGTTTGACAAAATGTAAAAAACGGCATAAGTGTTTCCAATCGGAATGAAATTGTTTTTAAATGTTTGTTTATTTTTTAACCATATATACTTAAATAGCTAGCTATAAACCTAGTAAGAAAACTAAAAACTACGAGTGTCTGCAAGATGGTGGATTCTTCCACAGATGCAGACGAGGTTCCACTTCAAATTGAAAATACTTTTCACCTATCTTTCTCTCATAGTAAATAATTTTACCAAGGTTTGAAATTTGCATTTTAAATTCAAATCATACGCGGATTCCGCGGTGAGAAGTGAGTTTGTTCTTATAGAAAATCATGGCAGGAAAAATTACATAAAGCAAGAGTGACAGAACACAATCTTTTGGTGGTGTTGTTACTTGGTCAGCGACAAAAATCTTAGCCTAATCTCAACCAGAACTCCAAAATACACTGTTACCCAGTTTACACTGGTATAATAATTAATAACGGTGGCCTTTTTTATTTTCTTTGGTAATAAGATCATAGATTCATTGATTTATTTGTTTGAAAAATTATTCTCTGTTCAAAAGACATCGAAGGTCTCAACAATGGTCTCAGTAAAAATACTACATTAAATAAATTCAAAATCACACTTTATTTACAGTTTTCACAGAACACGCACTCTTATCACAAAGTTAGGAATAAATAAGTGAGGCAAATCAATTCAGACATCGTTTAGTAGTGATGGTGGTAGGCGGGAGCGGGCGCGGCGATGTGATGGGAGGGTGCAGAGTTGTGCACGACGGCGTTGAAACTGAAAACAAAAGGAAATTTAATTAGACTTCATTTAGTAGTTAAGACTTAAAAACATTGTTTGCGGCACGAAAGAGTTCACTCCATTTATGCAAAGTAGATATTTTACATTTAACATGTACGTTATTTTCAGAGTAGATTCCTTTGAAGCGCAGTTGTTTCGGATTGTTTAATATGTTTATGTCAATAATTACAGTATTATTTCTACTTTCACTGGTCTTGGATATTTGAAATCACTATGGTACATTATTGTATCTTACCTAAATGTCAAAAAAAAGGTTTCAATGCTTTAAACATTGTAACATGCCTGCAGTGGATTTTCAAAGCTGCTTAAGTTTTCTATAAATGATGCACTTAGCGATCTTATTTCTTTATATGGGGACAGTTCAAAAAATAATTAAACAAAATATTTACCCATTGTGTGCGTCAGCGGTGTACTCGACCTTGCGCACGGAACCGTCAGGCTGGAGCAGGGAGTAGTATCCATGGACCGAGTCACCGTCGCGGCTCTCGTGCTGTGACTTGTGGTCACCGGTGTGGGGGTCCGCCACGGAGTACGAGTAATCGTATTTGGGGTGAGCCTACCAACACATTGATTATATTTTTAGTAGGCTCGATTAATGGAGAATCTTAAAGGTGCAGTCACAGATGATTGTTATCCACCTGCCTTGAGCATAACGTCCACAATGGACGAGGAAACTATGAACTACCCAGTACATGCTCAAGAAAACACTAAAAGTTTGAACATAAATGTCTTTTAAAATAGTTTTAAAGACAGCTTTGTACAAAAAAAACTTATTCATGTCTGATAAAAAAACAACAATTAAAAAAAAACTAACCACAAGTGTAATTGTATTTGAGTTAGTGGTCCATTTTTACAAGAGTAGTCTAATCTTCTTGATCAATAGGTGTAAGTACTAACGTATTCGTCATGTCCAGCGTAGTGGGCAGCAGGGGCAGCATAAGCCAAGGGAGCGGCGTAGTGGGCCACGGGAGCGGCGTAGTGGGCCACAGGAGCAGCGTAATGGGCAGGAGCGTGGGCTTCATCGTGGCGGACGATGCTCTGCGAAGAGACAGCGTGGCCGTGGTACAGGCCGGCGTTGGCTGCCGCGAGCAGCGCGCCGAAAGCTACGATCTGGAACAAGCAAGCAATAGTTTAGTTAATATAAAAACAGAAAAGCTTTGCTATATAAAAACTTAATGGAAGCTCTACTTGGGCAGCTTTGTAATATGTTCCTTTTTCGTCTTCCTAAAAGCAAAAGTAGCCGTTACAGTTACTTCCTGAGCAAAATTATTGAGCACATTACTCCCGGGTCTTCCAGACCGATTACTAAATTCGGGGAACGTCCCAAGCATGATCCAATTTAGTTCCTGTGTATGATTTTCTTTTGTGTGTGTTTTTATTGTATATCGGGACTTACTTTGCTGAACATTTTGACTGGATAGTTTAACAACCCAAACTTGATTGATATGTCAACGGGCCTGCAGTATGGTTTTATAGAACGAGGTTTATTAATGCGCGGGCGCGGTGGGGCGGAGAAATGCGTGATTATACACCTTGACTGTGTAGCTTTGACACTTCCAAGGTCGCTATTTGGCTAAGAATCAGAAACAGTGATACCTGTTATATTCAATTCAATTCAAAAATCATTTATTCAGTTTAGGCTTGGCACATGTGAAAGTCGAAAACTATTCCATCGGTTCGCAAAACTACAGCAGGAGACCTTGAGAACTGAGAAGAACTGGCAAGAAACTCAGCAAGGACTGCTTTTTCTTCCTGTTTTATTTCATACATTGTCCGCAAATTGAAAGTTGACGTCAAACTTGCAAACGTGTGTCGAGGTCAACTTCCATCACATAATGTCAAATAGGTAACAATAGACAATCAACGGATTTACTATTTTTTTTTAAAAAAAATAAGAAAGAATGTTCAAAACAAATTGAACAAGTATATAGGATTCCGTATCCAAAGGGTAAAGCAGGGCCCTATTACTAAGACTCTACTGTCCGTCTGTCTGTCATGAACCCTGATAGCTGGACAGTTGTTTGACAGATGATGTATTTCTGTTGCCGCAACAACAAATACTAAAAACGGAATAAAATAAACATGTAAGTGGGGCTCGCATACTAATAATGTGATCTTTTTACCGTTTCTTGCTCTATATTACAATATAGTATATATGTTGCATAAATAATTGTTACGCTTCGTGCGCGAGTCCGACTTCAACTTTTACAATGCCAAGCATCCCCTGTGGGGCCAATGTATCAAAGGTGCAGCTCGAGAGAGTTCCATTTATCAACATCACTCCCATAGTCATCACTCATCCTCCACAACACTGCCATTGGTAATCCTAAGATGTTGTTTAAAATAAAAATGTAAGATGCCACATGTGTTTGACTCTGCCCTGTTATTGACAGGCTTTTACTTTATTCATAACAAGGTAAGGAAGGGGTGACATATTTTTTAATTTTGGTCAATATCAGGTGCTTAGGACAAGTTTAGTGGCCATAACGTTCTTGAAGTTTATATATATATATGTTACGGCTAATAGCCGAAGTGCGGCTACACCTAGTTTTAGCCAGCTACAACTAGGTGCAGCCCGCCACTTGCGGTTAAACTTAGGTGTATCCTACTTACTTCGGTTACAACTAGGTTTAGCCTTCATTATAGCGGCTAGAACTAGGTACAGCCGCACACTGGTGGTTAAACTTAGGTGCATCCTATTTATTATCGGCTAGAACTAAATGTGACGACGATGAAAAAAATGTGACCTCTGCATTAAACGACAGACAATAGATACTAATAGAAAAGGCGCAAATGATTCGTTGAGAGTACAAGCAAATAAAATGACAGCATTATCTAACAGAAAGTTTCCTCCGTGCAAAATAGGTGACACAGTTCGGGTGAAAATTCCTGACGTAGACAGAGGTAGAGGCGATTTTCCTAATGTTTTGATGGTACTTGAATGTAAAAATGATGGATCGTATAAATTGGATGAGCAATTTGGCACTATTACTGAATTATTTTCTAGGAATCAATTCACTGAATGCGAGACGAAATTTTTAGATATTGATATTGTTTCTCCCGAAAAAAAATCATTACGACAAATTGCTAATGCCCAATCTACAACTGGAGGACAAGGATACAAAAGATGCCACTGCAAAACTATGTGGTAATAGAAAGTGCCTCTGTAAAGCAGCCGGTATTTTGTGTAACTCGAAATGCCATTCAAGTTTATCTTGTTCAAATAAGTGATAGACATTCTTGCAACATACTATCATTTATGAGAGTTTGTTGATTTTTGTATAATTAAAACTTAGTAAAAAACTTATCCTATTTGTTTTAACATAAAAATATGAGAGAAGAGAACAAAGACTTAGTTGATGTTTTCATAGTTAAGAAGTAAAACTTTATTTTTTATGTTTATTTTGTTATGTCTAGTTCTGTTAGTTTATGTAGAGAAGATATATAATATTTTCTGTTTTAAGTACTTATAATAACGCCTTTTTTGTTTAAAGATATTTGCCTGTCAAATAATAAATGTCACTTAAACATCCCTGTCTTTTATTTATTCCATGTAATCGAATCAATCGTTAAACGCAAAATTAGAATCTCAAAACAACTGAACTGAAAACCTAGTTCTAGCTGAATAGGGTACACCTAAGTTTAACCACCGGTGTGTGGCTGCACCTAGTTTTAGCCGCTATAATAAAGGCTAAATCTAGTTGTAGCCGTACTTCGGCTATTAGCCGTAACATATATATCCGTTGATTTTACTGAGCTTTTTGTAAACAATAAAAACCGGCAAATGCGAGTCGGACAGGTAGATTTTATATTTCATCTACTTTCTTAAATATTTTTTAATTGTTCATTTTATATTTTGTAGATGATGATCATAATTATCATTTAATATATAAACCAATACAGTTAGATAAATTTTACTTTTTTTAATCACAAAAGTTAACCCATATTCGGAATTTATTTAAAATTTTAATTTATTTTTTAATTTTTCCATGTTTGTGTCACAGACATAAATGTATGTACCAACGTGATCATTCCGAGCAAATAAACTATGATAGACACAGACAGACAGATAACTAAGTGAACCTATGGGAGTTCCGCTTTTGTCGATTTAGGCACGAAACCCTAAAACATGCGAACATTTCAATTAGATAGGTATGGTGTTCACACGAGTTAAATGTGCAACACAATAATTTCATCTATGGCTCCAAATTCGCACCAAAGAGCTTAAAATAAAAACAAACGACGACCTCCGTAATATGAATGGTAAACAAGTACACCGGTTCTGAGTGTTGCCTCCTCAGAGGTCTTGGGATCGAATTCTGGTGGGGCAAATGTTTGTATAATAATACAGGAATTTGTACCTAATACGTATTTGTAGAAAAATATACTTATATAAAAAAAAAACTGCCCTCACACTGCAAGGATTGTGTTATGGAATACTAAGGTAACGGATTGAATACATATACATAAAATATTTTTGTAAATAGGGTTATATCTCTTTTTAATATAATTTACTAACATAGTATTAAGTATTGTATACTAACACATGGATCTATGTTGTCCGAATAATAAATGATTTGAATTTGAATTTGAATTTGAATATACTGATACTCGTACATATTTTAGTATATTTATATAAAAATACATATAAACATCCGTGACTTACAGTACAACTGCTCGTATTCATCACACAAACATTGCCCCATCGGGATATTCGAACCCGGGACCTCTGAGTAGGCGACACCCTTAAACCCGGCTTACATACCACTCGGCCATGAAGGTCGAAAAAAAATATTCATAATACTTTGGGTAAAAAGTCTTTTCACATTATGTATGTATGAACTTGAAATAAAATCTCTTTGGCTTATACTATTTTGTATCTATCTGGTTTTGGTATCAATCAAAAGTTTAAATTTTAAAGAATATAATTCCAAATTAAAATTAGATAAATGTGTGATTTTCGTTTGTTTTAGTTACTGTCAAGACGAGTGAATCTTTATAAAGAATTCGATACATTTTAAATTTTACTACAAAAAAGATTAAAATGCAAAAAAATAAAAACTTTGTCATGTTTATTAGTACAACCAATCTGTAGGTTGAGTGGTGAAAAAAAACCTATAGGTAAGTCTTGTATTTTCTGTTGCCAAATGACGTCAGTAAGCCACCTTGGCGATGGGCATGTTCAACTCGTAGGCGTTTTTTGAAAAACTCAAAAAAACCCTCAAAAATATTTTGCATTTGCATTTTTCTTGTTTTGTATGCATTTTAGAAACTTTTATTTCGACCATAATTGTAGAGGGCGCTGAGTACTACAATTTATGTCATTATTGCAATCTCGTACAACAAAAAATGCGCATTGTAGGTGGCGCTAAAATCTCAAAAAAAGTGATTTTTCACTTTTTCACCCTGAAAATATCATTTTAATGGAAAACTTTCAATGGAAAAGTTGTTCCGTATATAATTACCAACAACTTTTGTATAAACAATTTTTTTGTATTACTTACCGTTTTCAAGTTATAAATTGCGCAGGTATGAAAAATCCAGTAGAGCGGTTTTTGGGCAGTTCAAGTACACATTTGCAGTGCACATTTCAATGTAAGTATGTTTATACTGATTGACTGTACTATAGTACAGTCAATCTGTCGAAAAAAACACACAGATAGATAGAGATTGACTGTACTATAGTACAGTCAATCTGTCGTGTGGACCTAGTTCAGTGTCTGTGAAAGTAGCACAAATTTGGTTTAAGCGTCAATCCGGATTAAGCGTTTTAAATTATGATGTCGAAGATGCAAGACGCTCTGATCGCCCTGTTAAGGATAAAATGGATGCCATTTTTGATAAAGTGGAGCAAGATCGGCATATCAGTAGTAACGACGTAGCTTAAACACTAGGAATTGACCAAAAAACAGTTTTGGTGCATTCGATGCGATGAGTACTTTTATGCTGACTGATCTTGTTAGTCTATTCAAATACTGGTAAGAAAATCAGGTCAATGGGGTCCGCTGGTCGAATGTATATTCGGATCCATATAGGCTGGAGTGCGGGCTGAGGCAGGGAGGGCTGACCTCTCCAAAGCTCTACAACTTGTATGTGAATGCCCTTCTGGAGGAGCTTAGCAGCACGCATGTAGGCTGCCATATTGATGACGTTTGTCTAAATAATATTAGTTATGCGGATGACATGGTGCTGCTGAGCGCTTCAGTGTGTGGTTTGAATAAGTTTCTGTCTATCTGTGAGCGTTACGCACTTAGTCATGGTTTGTTGTATAACTCGAAAAAGAGTGAATGTATGGTTTTTCGGGCGGTGGTGGGCGTCTGGACTATGTGCCAGCTATTAAACTAAACGGCTTGCCACTTCAAGTGGTTGATCGTTTCAAATATTTGGGCCATTGGGTTGCCGACGACTTGAAGGACGATACAGATATAGAAAGGGAGCGCAGGGCGCTGTCTGTTAGGGCAAACATGATTGCACACAGATTTGCTCGCTGTTCAGG